TTAAATAGGGTGCAAACCCTGAAAATTAGGGTTTCACTCTGGCAGCCCTACTCATCGAAGCGAGGCCTCTTAACTTATCGAGTAGGCTTCAATACCGTGTCCAACCCTTCGTCCCTACTCGACGAGTCCGGGGCCTCCGACTTGTTGAGTCCCTTTGCAAAAATGAATGTTTTAATTTAAAATACATACCAGAAACCCGATGTTACACCAACTCATAACTCCGAACTCAGCTGCCTACAACCACCATGTGACTAACTTTGGTAAAATCCCGAAATACCCAAAATACCCTTCAAGTCAAACTTGAATGGTCAAAGTCAGAGTCAACAGTCAAGGTCAACAGTCTATGTTGACCCAACTCGTCGAGTTCCTTTGGTTCTCAAAAAGTCGGGAAAAACCTAGTCAACTTGTTGAGTTATTAAGGCAACTCGTCGAGTTTGTTCAGTGTCTAGAAGATCGGGGAAACCTCGAGCCAACTCGATGAGTTGTCGAAGCAACTCGTCGATTTCTCTTAGCTTAACTCATTCAACCATTTATTAAGCGAGTCTTATGCCCCCAAACTATAGATCTGGTCCCCAAGGACTGAGATACCACGTAAAGTTGCTAACTTTACATCCATGCACGACATCAAAGGGGCTAAAACACTCAAACATAGCCTAATACGGGTTTAGGGCATGGAGGAGAGCCAATACTTGATAAAACTTGGAACTTTAAGCTCAAGGAGCCACAAAACATCTAGATTTGAAGTGGCAACTTCAAACAATGCATCATTCCAAGAATGACTCCAATATGGACCAAGAATAACAATATCTTTCCATAGAAGTAGATCTAAGCAATAAGAGCCCAAGGTATCGACTTTATACCTCAAAATGGTCGCCCAATAGATTAGACACCAGATCTATACCCTCTCCCTTCGGCCAACTTCTTCAGGCTTCTTGTTCCTTCCAAAAGAGCACCAAAAATCACTCTCCAAGCTCTCTCTCATACACACACACACACATAATGAGGGCAAAAGCACGAACTAAGGTTTTCTCTGGACAAGGAGGCGTTGAAGGAGGCCAACATTGAGAGTTAAGGCCTTTAAATTGGGTTCAAACCCTAAAATTAGGGTTTTCATGTTCATCCTTCCAACTCGTCGAGTAGAGATTGAAAGCTACGTTGGCATTAAATACTCTACACGACGAGTTGGAGCCTTCCAACTCATCGAGTTACCTTGAAAATATAAATAAAAAGCTCTAAATTCATACATGAAGATTGGGATGTTATATCTTAGATGTTTAGATTCTTGATGGGCCATCTAAGAACAAGTATATGGACTAGTATATTTGAATAGGCTTTTGGGTAAGGCCCATGTGAGGGGTTTGGGCCCAATTTGGAAAATTGGGCCATATGTTGGGCCTTGGTTCATTGTTTGGCTTTTAGGCCTTCAGAGTGTGTGTTTGGTCCTTGGGCTGGGATCAAGCTAGGTTGGGGGTAAAGTAGTCTTTTTACTGTAAACATGGACTTATGGTTATATATTGGAACCCAGTTAATAATTGGGTGTTGTTTTGATGTTGACAGTTCAGGAATCTCTCATCCAGCAACTAGAGTTTTATCTGCAGGACTTCAGTAGTACGAGGTGAGTTACCTTTCCTGTATCAGTGGGTAGAAGACACCAATGTCGACCCACTAGTAGTTGTTTATAGTAGAGATGATTGTCTTTGTGATAATTATCTGGTATGCCCCTATCTGTTGAGATTTATGTGCTTGTTTGCTATGTTATTATGTGATAGTGGTAGGGGTGAAATAGACCCCTTAACCGATCGAAATATACCGGATGGTAGGTCGGGCACCCAGATATGTCTGATAGTATGTTTATATATGCTATTATGTGGTAGTGGTAGGGGTGAAATAGACCCCGTAACCGGTTAAAATAAACCGGAGGGTAGGTTGGGCACCCAAATATGCTTGACAGGGTAGGCCGGGCACCCCAAATATGATCGACGGGGTAGGTCGGGCACCCAGATATGCCTGACAGGGTAGGCCGGGCACCCAGATATGCCTGACAGGGTAGGTCGGGCACCCAGATATGCATGACAATATGTTTGTGTTGTATGTGGTATATTGGGGGAACTCACTAAGCTTGGTGCTTATAGTTTTCAGTTTGTGTTTCAGGTACGATGGTTTTCAAACAAGGGAACTCCGAATGATTGCAGCGCACACACCACATGTTTTCTCGTATTTTATTATTTACTCTGATTTGAAATAATACTCATACATTATCTTTGTTAAACTTGTATGTATAATGTTTGGAGCACTGTTTTTATTTGATTAAAAATGAAATTTTATGACCTTATTTTTAGGATGTTGCAGGTCTAGTCTAAATGGATTAAAAAATTAAGGTGACAACAATGGGACCAAGTAAGATATCAACTAACTTGGGTCGTGCAATGTGTACAATAGTAGGCGTGGGCAAAAAAACTGGTTTACAAACCGAACCGATCACTGAACCGAAAACCGGTTTATCCCTTGTAGCGAGCTTAGAAGGTACATTGGTTCTGATTTCTTGTCACAAATGAGTATTCAATAGTTTGAAAATTTTGATATTTTTGCTTGGTGGAAAGGAAAGGAAACCTAATTTCCGATTTTAGCCGCTATGGCTTGTGGTCTACTAAGCTCCCAAGCTTCTACGGTAGCTTCGAAATCAACTTTTTCTATTAGTGGCAGAGTTATATCACCAAGAAGAACAAAACTCACCCCTTTATATGTGGAAGTCTGCATTTGCTTGAAATACTACCTTGATAGCGTGGAACAAATACAAGACATTGAAGTACTAGAAGGCACATCGTTGCATACCGAAGCATGAGTACATGAGGAAGAAGTAGCGATAGGAATGTCGGTGCTACTCACCCTAGAAGAGCTCGAGTATGAGAGAAGATTGCGCAGCGACATGATGGATGGCAAATAAATAGAATAACTACGAACTTGGAATGAAGACTACAACGACAACAATGTCTTATATTTGAAGATCTATTAGTTTAACAATTTGGATGTTTTGTGTTTTTATGTTTGAAGTTGTATTATGTATTTCCAATATAAAAAAAATGAAAAAAAGGTTGAAAATTGCTCCAAAAAATATGTTATTCAAGTTGAACAATTTTGTGCATACATTATGTTTTTGTCCATATAGGGAAAATGACATAAAAACCCTTAAGTTTTCACAAAAATATCGGTTTTACCCTTGGACGTGTTTTAGGTCCACTAGAGCCTGAAGTTTTGTATAATTTGTTCATTTTTACTCTTATAGCCGGTTTCCAGGTAACCTACCAGTTACCTAATGCCAGTAAAGCCCTTGAATTTTTAAAAATGTTCGGATTTACCCTTAAGTTTTTAAAAAATGTTCGAATTTACCCTTACATTGATTTTTATTTTGATTATCACTATTTTGATTATTATTATTATTATTATTATTATTATTATTATTATTATTAATTTTTAATACATTTTTAAATGTATATAAATATTTTTACTAATATAAATATATTTTTAAAAATATATACTTGTATTTAGTATTTATATACATTTGAAACCCCATGTATTCCTGTAGTAACGTATTTATATATTAAAAATATATTTATTTGTATTTAGTAGGTATAAATATATATTTATTTCATATAAAAATATATTATCTACATATAAATATAAAAATGCATATTTATATGGTTTATATTATATAAAAGATATAATTAGATGTATTTGTACATATTACCAAGAATAAATAAGTATTTATTTCATAATTATATGCATACTATAGTTTTTATATAGAGGAAATACATATTTATATCTATTAAATACAAATAAAAATATGTTTCAATGTATAAATATGTCTTTAAATGTATAAATACACTTTTTATTTGTATTTAATACATATAAATATGTTTGGAAATGTATAAATACGTTTTCATTTGTATTTAATAGATATAAATATGTGTTTCATTTGTATAATAACTATCTTATGCAAATAGTTATGAAATAATATATATTTATAGTTAGTAATATGTACAAATACATATAAATATATCTTTTATATAATATAATCCATATAAATATGTATTTTATATTTATATGTATATAATATATTTTTATATGAAATGAATATATATTTATACCTACTATATACAAATAAATATTTTTTTAATGGAATACATGAGAATTCAAAATGTATATAAATACTAAATACAAATATATATATTTTTAAAAATATATTTATATTAATAAAAATATTTGTATACATTTAAAAACGTATATATAAAATATTTTTATACATTAAAATGTATTAATAATAATAATAATAATAATAATAATAATAATGATGATGATGATGATAATAATAATAATAATAATAATAATAATAATAATAATAATAATAATAATAATAATAATAATAATCTAAATAAAAATCAAGGTAAGTGTAAATCCGAACATTTTTTAAAAACTTAAGGGTAAATCCGAACATTTTTGAAAATTCAAGGGCTTTACTGGCATTAAGTAACTGGTAGGTTACCTGAAAACCGGTCACAAGGGTAAAAATGAACAAATTAAACAAAACTTCGGGTTTTACTGGACCTAAAACACGCCCAAGGGTAAAACCGATATTTTTATGAAAACTTAAGGACTTTTATGTTATTTTCCCGTCCATATACACAAACATCAAATTTAAAACAAAAAAAAAAAAATACATCAAAAGATATATATTATTAAACAAGAAACAAAAGCAAAAAATACATTATGTTTTTGTACATATACACAAACATCAAATTTAAACCCATTCTTATTTTACACTTATTAGCCAAAAAAAAAAAAACCTTATATGTGTTGAACCCGTTTTGAACCGGTTATTTTTCGGTAAAACCGAACCGGTTTATATAAGTTCGGATTTTTTTTGGAGATGGACCGGTTTGGAACCGAACCGTTAACCGGTAGAAATAAAACGGGTTTGTGGATGCCTATACAATAGAGTGATAGACCATTAATTCTATTGAAACCACACCACATTTAAAGCCCAATAGGACTGGTATTCAAAACTTGCCGCAATTTCCCTCCTCAGTGCTGCACTCTAATTTGATTAGTAAGAGTGTCTGAAAGAATGGGGGATTAAATCATTATTTGATTGTTAAAGCTTAGGGTTTATGCAGTTGTTGAAGATCATGGAAGATATATTTGTCGATGATTCAAAGAGTAATGTGTCCGTCGGATGTACTGGTTAGTTCCTTTGCTCTAATTCTCTCCATTTTAAACCGATTACTTAATTCACTTTTCATCTTTAAAAAAAGACGATACGCACTTGGAATATTGAGCATTCGATCGTTGAAGATTTACGATTTCAGTGACTTTTCATTTGTTGCAAAATTGACGGATCAATAGCTAATTCAATTCTAATAATTAAGGATAATTTCAGTGTCAACGTTCTTCAAATTAAATCAGAAGATCACATGCGTCGGATCAAAAAGAAACATTTTCCTAGTATTCATACTGTGTAAATGACTCATGGCCTGAGTATTGGTATCCATAGTTTGATAATGGAAGCTTGAATTTTAAGTCGTGTCTATTTATCTATTAAAATTTAGGTTTTTGTTAGGTCTGTTGTGATTCCTTCAGTTATCAATTTTATTTGGGGGTAGATAAGCTCAAGGTAGAAGAAGGACAACTATATACTTGGTGTGAGATCCATTATTTTTCACTGAATCTTAGCAGAGAAGATGTAGGCCTTAGGGTTTACTATTGTGCTATTGACAATGTCTTCTACTGAAATAGATAAGCCAAAAGTAGCAGAAATGGCAAAGGGCAATATGCGAAGTTCAGGGAGAAGAACACTTGCTGACATCAGCAACATTCCACTTCAACCTAGCACTTCAAATAACAATCCACATCGAAGTTCTAATACTATAAAAGAGCACAACAAGCAGCTCCAAAAGGTACATTTTTTTTTTGATATGGTGGTTTTGTTAATGTGATTCAAGAATTATACGTAATCTGTTTATAACTTTATGTATATATTCAACCAGTGATTGAACTTACTCTTTTATGTCATCCAGGAAAAAGCAGCATTAATGAAGCTCTTATCAGAGAAAAAGTATCCAATTAAATCTCTTTTTCCATTTCTTGTCACCATGGGAATTCCCAAACCTTTCTTTCTGTTAATCTGTTATCCCCCTTAACAATTTTTGCAGTAAAATCATTGAAGAAAGTAGAGTTGAGGGGCACAAACTAAGGGTTACTTTGCAGAAGATCCAGGAGCAGAATTTGCAACTTGCTCAATCAAACACCCAGATGCTAATGGTCTGTTTTCTTGACATAATTTCTTTAACTTTTTTTTTAAAAACATTTTCTTGTGAGATTCATGTAAACATGTTATAATATATTGCTCTATTTTGTAGGAACTAAATTCAGTCAAGGAGAGAGTAAGTACTGTTAGGTAATTCCATCTTATATTTGACTTACATCCATAATTACATTCATACCCCTTTGTTTTGTTTGGTTTTAGAACAAAGCTCTGAATCATGAGCTTGGATGCAAAAATGGTTTGATTAGTGTAATGAAGTTGGATTTGGAAAACAGAACCTGTCAAACAAATGATGCTGATGTAAGTACATGAACAATAATCCTATTTTTTTTTTTTTTTTTTGATAATATGCTCCAAATTGTGTCTCATATCATCAATATAAGTTGAACATTTATGTATTCACTTGTAGAACAATAAGGCCACTGAAGTGAAGGAGACTGAAACTGAAGTGTCTGCATTTGCAGAAAATAATGAAGACAAACTTTATATTACCAGCAAAAGGCATAAATCAAAAAGTCAGTGTCAATTTTTTTTTTTTTAGTTTCATTTCCTTATATATAATCATCTGTTAAATTATAACCTATTCCTTGTTGTATATAGTTTACTTATTTGTTTATGCACAATTCTTAAAATGGGTATCTTATTTGATTGTTGATTTTAGGTTTAGTTCCATCTGTTGAAAAGGTTCAAGGTGATGAAGTGGGTAAAAACAGAAGGTTTGTGCATTACTCAATACTCATATTTTTATTGAGTTTTTTACTTTCTTTTTATTCATGATATGTTTTTTTTTTTTGACAGGATTCAAACTAGAAGACAATCTTCAATTTTTAAGGTTGATGAACCAAAACCTATCAAAGACACTATTGAGATAGAAAATGTTGATGATGATGATGATGATAAAATGAAAGTGAATGATTTAATAAAATCTAAAGAAGAAGGTGATGATATTCAAGACTACAAACCTCAAGAAAATAGAAAAACATTTGTTTCAAGGCCCTTACGTGAAGCTGCAAAGAAAGTTCAGTCTTACAAGGAAATAAAGGTGAATATGAAGATGCGAAGAGACAAGTGAATGTTTTTTTTTTTTCAAACTTTTTCTACAGGATGAATTCTCTTTTCATGCTTAGATAAAGTATAAACCATTTGTTTGACGTACAACAACATATCTTAAAACTCAAAAGAGGCAAGTCTAAAAATTATATGTGGTATTAATGTGTATATAGGAACATGATATGAAGATGGTTAATATTTTGATGGTTTCTTTTGTTGTAGTTACACCGAATGAAAGCTAGTATGTGTGTGTGTATGAAACGGGGTTGTATATGTCCTATTAGGCTTTTGTTTTGGGTTTGAGTATATACTCGTTTATAAGGTGAATTTTTGGGGAAGTATTATGTTTAAAAGTTGACAAAAGTTTTAATGGTAAGACTCAATGACTTTATCATATACACAACTCATCATCTCTGTCTAAAACACATCTCTAAGGTTGTATTGTATGGTAATCTTTTTACCGATAATATGCTGATTTGGCTACTTTACCGGCGGTAAACAAGGCCCCACAACATTTTTTTTGCAGGCGGTATTATGCTGACAGTAAAGGTCCACCGATGGCAAAATTTGAATGTTTGAGGGTTTGTGACCGTTAGGAGGACCGTTGCTGCTATATTATTATTATTTTTTAATTTATTACCTATATATATATATATATATATATATATATATATATATATATATATATATATATATTCTACCCTTTTTAAAAATCCTCTAAAAAAATGGCAAATCCATTACAAACATGTAAGTTGTTGATAACCATTAGTCACACTATTGCAAAATCATGGGAAACGATTCTAGAAACGGTACAAGAAGAAGAAGGATTCGAACCTTCACAACCTAGGATGTGAAAGATGCTTCATAGAGATCGTTGGGATGCAAATAATCGTCGATTTTGAAGGGAAAAATATTTATTTCTTTGTATAGGAGGTGATGTTACTAACATTTCTGATTTTATCAGACAACATCGGGATGCAAAAGGTGCATATGGGTTTTTGGAAATACAAAAATGCACAGTTGCAGTTGCAGTTCGACAATTAGCCTATTGTTTCTGATGCATTGGACGAATATTTTCAAATGTTTGACCGGGTAGCAAAGGAAAGTTTGGATGAGTTTTACAAATGTGTTGTCACTTGTCACTTTTTACGCTCCAAAGTATTTGTGTAAACATATTTTTATTGACGTTCACTCATTATATGCTCATCATGTACGTGTTGATGCTTTTCCTGGGATGCTTGGAAGTTTGGGTTGTCTTCATTGGTCAATGGAGTAGTTGTCCTAATGCATGGCAATGACAATTTACATAGGGTGATAAAGGTCACCCCACAGTCATATTTGAAGCTGTTGTGTCACAAGATCTTTGAATTTGGCATTCACTTTTGGTCATCCTGGCTCAAATAACGATATTAATGTTTTAGACGTGTCACCTATATTCAATGGCTTTTGTGATGGGTCCACACCTCACTGTTCATTTCAAGTAAATGCAATGACGTACGATTATGGATATTATCTTATTGATGATATATACCCTGAATTTGTTGTGTTCGTGAAAACGCTAACATGTCAAAGTGATCCACAACACATAAAGTATAAAACATTTCAAGAAAATGATGGAAAAGATGTTGAACGAGCATTTGGAGTCCTCAAGAAGCATTGGCGCATACTATAACATCCGACACGTCCTTGAACGGTGGAAAAGCTTGCTTGTATTATGTTTGCGTGTATCATCATACATAATATGATTTTATAAGACGAGGACAAAACAATTTGTCAGTATTAAGAAAATGACAATGCATCCTCAGCCAATATCGACTGTTTCCTCCTTATGGCATGCAAGAAGAAGGACGATACGTGACAATAAAAAACATCACGAGCTTTGCAACGATTTAGTGTGTGTGTCTATATATATATATATATATATATATATATATATATATATATATATATATATATATATATATATATATATATATATATATATATATATATATATTTATATATATATATATATATATATATATATATATATATATATATATATATATATATATATATATATATATATATATATATGGATTAATAGAATTGATTTGAATGAGCCCCGATGATATGGTTATTTTAATAAAATTAACTAAATGATTCAAAAGATTATAATTGTTTCAAATGTATGATAAGACATATTAAAATCACATCATCAAAACGACCCATAGCCATTGATTGTGCTTTAACAAAATTAAGAAATTTATTTTGTATTATTTTTAATTAATTAATTTAAAAATAACTTATTTGCTAAATTTTAAAGTATCAATTATGATTATTATTTGTAATATCAACTATTGTTTCAAGATAACATAATATACTTTTGTATTTTATGTTATTTTTATCAAATATTATTGTTATTTAAGTAAAAAACTTCTTTGGATAATTTGGATAATTTTAAATTTGTTTGACATTCTAATTTAGGTTTTGTATTGAACATAATATGTACATTATATTAATAATTTTACAGTTGTGGAACTAAAAAAATGTTTTACATTATCTCGTATTTCATGAACCAATTTAGAAGGATAAATATAAATTTAAAGACAAGTTATTTGCTAAAAGATGTTTTAATTATAATTATTATTTGTAATACGAACCAATGTTTCAAGCATAAATTTTAATCATGATTATTGAAAATGAATTTGAAAAATCATGGAGATTTCAAATTAATTTGATGCTAGTAAGGTTACCTCACTTATATAGTATATATATAGATTGTTTTTGTAGGATTGTATTTTATATGACATATGTCATCTATTGTCTACATCTAGCTCCGTTCATGTGAGAATTGGATACTAATGTTGGTGGTTTGCACATGATATCCCACTATCAACAATATTAGAATTTTAGATGTACATTAAAGTTATTACATGATCATTATGAGTACATAAATCAATTAATTTACATGATGAAGTAGCCATAGGATTTGACATTTTGATTCTCTTTCTTGGATTTGTTTGTTGTTTATGTTTACCAAAAGCACCCATATCAGTCAAACCTTTAAACAAACATGGATCCGGAAAAGGAAAGGAAAACACTATTCAATTACATGCCAAAAATGTCAAATCAATAAAGTGTTGAAAAGTGACCCGAAGTATAGTTAAATAGGGAGTTATTTATTTATGAGAAAATGACAAAAATAGCCATTTACACTAATGAAATTACAAAAATAGCCAAAAAATATCCAAATTACAAAAATAGCCAACGATTTCGCAGATGGAAATGCCCCATCTGCGAAATCACCTTTCCATCTGCGAAAGTACAAGCAGCTAAAGCACAGTTGTGCTTTAGCTGCTTGTACTTTCGCAGATAGTATTTTTTTTTAAAATTTTTTTTGTGTATATATAGGGGTAATTTCGCAGATGGAGAAGGTCCATCTGCGAAATCCTCTCATCCTATCTGCGAAATACTGATGTTTTTTGTATTTTTTTTTTTAGTTTGACTATGAAATGAATTGGTTTGACTACGAAATCATGTTGCTATATAAAAAGTTTTGTAGAAAAATATCATTTTGGTTTTTATTTGTTTAGGAACTTTCTCTACAATTTGCTCAAAAAATGATTGAATATTTGGTTTGTCTTATAACCGGTGGGAGATGGCAAGTTAATGGAACTAATCTGGAATACATATGTCCACAGGGAGGTATTTCTGAACTTGCTTTGATATTTTCTGAGTATATTACTTATAGTGATTTTGTATCTTTGATAAGAAGCAAAATTGGTTTGTTAGACAAATATAGAATTAGTCTTCGTTTCCACCATCCCAAATTAAATTATTATATAGTTATAGTTGAAGACATGGATGTTAGAATGTTGATAAACATAATCAAATGTAGTGGAGGAAGGGCTGTGAAAGTGTTTGTGGTGGTTGATGAAGATGAAGAGGTTAATGGGGGTGGTGAAATTGGAAACCAGCTTGTTAGTAATTTATGCAGTTATAAAGGGAGCAACGATCCGATAGGTACTTTCAATACTCCTAGTGTACCTCAGTTTCACAGTGTTGCTGAAAATGTTAATGTTAGTTATTCACATATTCACTATGTGGATCCTGAGAATTACAAGCATGTTGGTGATGATGATTTTGGTACTTATCTTGATGATGTGGGTGGTCGTTGTGATGATGTTGCCGAACAAGAAGTTAAAGTTATAAGTTGGCGTGTGGTAGATAAAACTAAAAAGAAAAAAAAAATTCAAGTCAAAAAAATGAAAAAAAATCATGTTTACGGGCATTATATTGATGTTGGTGATGTATGTTTAGATATAACCGAGCTACAAAGCAATTCCGATAGAGATGAGTTGGGTGATGAAGTTAAAGCTAAGTTTCCCGATAACCTTTTTCACGGTATGCCTCTTGTACCAGCATGGCCAGTTGATATTAATGAAGATATCCCAACACAGATTGTCGACATGAATCTTCAAAAGATTCAATGTGAGAGTATATTTAAGAACAAAGAACTTTTAAAGCGATGTATTGGTAAAAAATGTCTTCGAGAAGGTTTCCAGACGAGGACAAGTAGATCCACCAAATCAAGGTATGAAGTTGTGTGTGTTTCGAAAAATTGTTCTTGGTTACTAAGAGCAAAAGCAATAAAAAATTCTGATGGACTTTTCCAAGTGAATAAATTTGTTGATGTACACACATGTTCTTCAACATTGTTGCAACCTAATCATCGACAAGCAAACAAATATGTTTTGGGTGAATATGTTGCTGATGTTTTGGCTGAAGACTATAGTAGAGTTTATCGGGGAAAAGAAATTGTTAATGATATGAATGCTCAATTGAATATCAATATCTCATACCATTAGGCATGGCGTGCGAAGCAATATGCATTGTTGTCGTTAAGGGGTACGAAAGGGGATTCTTTTACCAAACTTCCGGCGTATTGTCACAACTTGGACAAACATAATCCGGGTACCGTCACACATATTAAAACAGATGCTGATGATCGCTTTGAGTTTTTGTACGTCGCACTCGGTTGCTCGGTTAGTATTATCATATTATATTAATTTTTTAATATTTGTTTTGGTGTATTTGAATAGATATACAATGTATTGTAGGTACGCGCTTTTGTCAATTTTTGTAAGCCGACCCTAGTAGTAGATGGAGCTCACCTAAAGGGAGAGTTCAAAGGTACCATGTTACTTGCAGTTACTAAGG